CTAGATGGTAGTTATAAATGGCTAGGTATATCAATGATGTTAGATCTAGCTGACAATTATAAATGGCTAGGTATATCAATGATGTTAGATCTAGCTGGTAGTTATAAATGGCTAGGTATATCAATGATGTTAGATCTAGCTGGTAGTTATAAATGGCTAGGTATATCAATGATGTTAAATCTAGCTGGTAGTTATAAATGGCTAGGTATATCAATGATGTTAGATCTACATGTAGCTGACAGTTATAAATGGCTAGGTATATCAATGATGTTAGATCTAGCTTACAATTATAAATGGCTAGGTATATCAATGATGTTAGATCTAGCTGACAGTTATAAATGGCTAGGTATATCAATGATGTTAGATCTAGCTGACAATTATAAATGGCTAGGTATATCAATGATGTTAGATCTAGCTGACAGTTATAAATGGCTAGGTATACATGTATCAATGATGTTAGATCTAGCTGACAGTTATATATGGCTAGGTATACAATGTATCAATGATGTTAGATCTAGCTGGTAGTTATAAATGACTAGGTATATCAATGATGTTAGATCTAGCTGACAATTATAAATGGCTAGGTATATCAATGATGTTAGATCTAGCTGGTAGTTATAAATGGCTAGGTATATCAATGATGTTAGATCTAGCTGGTAGTTATAAATGGCTAGGTATATCAATGATGTTAGATCTAGCTGGTAGTTATAAATGGCTAGGTATATCAATGATGTTAGATCTAGCTGACAATTATAAATGGCTATTAATCTCACTTAATTTAGGTCTAGCGGGTAGTTATAATTGGCTATACAACAGATGCATCTAGCTGGCTAGAAATGTTTTATAAACTAAAAATGTTAGAAATGGATCTAGACATTTCTAACCTACCTGGCTAGAAGGCCAGCTAATAGTTTTAGTAGCTAAATTAATGTCATTAATTAATTAATAATACTCTGCTGATTCGGTTGTTGTTCTAATTATACATGCCATGATTGATCTCAGACATGCAGAACTTGATAGATATGCCAAGGAGAAAGAAACCGCTTTGACAGCTTGCAAAGAGAGTCACAATGAGAGGGAGCGGTCACTACAGGATACAATTCGGGAACTACAGTCGCAAACGGAAACAAAAGATGTTGAGATTAGAAGATTAACATGGGCTCTTGCAGATAACACTAAAGAAAAAGATATACAACTTGAAAAGTAGGTATATTGCTTTTAGTCTGATTTACCTTGTTAAATCTTCACAGTTGTCTCACAGCTTATGTATTTTACATACGTTGTATAGGTAGTATGGGACTCACACCTTTCATTATGATGACTCGACAGATATGGGGCTTTATATTTTTATATTTTTTGTTGTTGACAGAATGCGCAAACAGTTATCGGATTTCAAGTGTAATTCTGATTCTAAGCTGGCTGATGTGTCACATAGCGTTGTTGCTAAAGATCTTGAAATACAAGCTCTTAGAGAAACTGATGGTAAACTACGAAGTGAACTTGCACAACGGAAGGAAGATGTTGCAAGGTATAGTTTTACATTCCTCTAAAATTTCTGGTTTATATGCTGACATAAAAACTTGCTTTCCTGAAATCTATGTTTGAAAGTACGATAACTTTGATGACAAAAAGTGAATGTCACTACAGAAATATGGTCAAATAATATGCATAAAATGATAATTTAGTAGTGACATATTGAAAACATATTTCTCGTTAAAAACCCATTAAAAATATTGTCAATTTAGTAAATAAGATAAGTAAATTGTAAGCCACTATCTTTTTTTTTTTCAAAAAGACAAAAATATGGTATTTTCACTCTACTTTCAATTTTTTCCTTTTTTTTTTAGCCTTCGCAGACGAAGTCTGCTGAAGGCTTATAGATTGGGTTCCGTTCGTCCGTCCGTCCGTCCGTCCGTCCGTCTTTTACCTCTTATAACTTTGATATGCTCTGTCCAATTTTTTTCCAAGTTGGTGCAAATGTAATTCTCAATGCCATACATATGCACGCCAAGTATTTTTTTGATTCGCCAAAGTTTCATTGTGTTTTTCTGTGATTTTCAACATTTTACTAGTACAAGTGCCGAAATTTGCCGGAAAAATCCGAGTTTTAACGACATCTCGCAAGAGAACTGGCATTCCGTATTGCGCATGCGCCAGTCTAACCGCTGAGGAAATCGCCGTCGATTTCGTCTGAGGATATTGTATTCCGGGACTGTATCTTTCTTTGCACAAGGCTTACATAGATTAAATTCAAAGGTAAGAAACTGTGCTTATGGTATTTATTATGAACTTTGATTTATCCTTTTGTGTCCTGACTTTAGTGAGAAACTAGCGATCGCACAGTGTCACACTTTGCCAGAAAAACAGTCCTGCTATTAGTTCAAGAACTGGTTATGAAACGTGTAAATCGAAAGTTTATCTCGTCATTTAGGAGGCTTGGGAATAACGTTTGGCATATAAAATACTGGAATAATAAAAAACGTAAAAGTTTAGAACACGCTGATCGTGATTCTGTTATGTACGATTGCTATT